ATTTTCTTAAATTACTTACTAATTTCTAAATTTACAGTGGACTCATGTTGCCCAAAAAGCACGCATTTGGAAGTGAGAAATTAAAGAAAGAAAAAGAAGAGAGGGATAGAGGACTTGAAACAATCACAAAGAAGAAAAAAAATATGCATTATATTTATTAGAAATATCATTATATTATTATAGTTATATTAAAGGGTCCATCTTTCTAGCTCTGCTCCAGGTCACTAAGTTCACAGGACCGGGCCTGCTAAGTAGCAGACTTTGCCTACCACAAACAAATTATTCCTCTATCTAAGTTTTTTCTTAATAAAGTGACAAACGATCTCAATATGTTCAGTTCTATCATGTTGAACTGGATTATTAGCTATATTGATATTGCTTTTATTATCACAATATAGCATCAATGGTTTAATTCAAATAACTCCAACTCTGTTGGGAGAATTTGCAACTACAACAATTCACAAACATCATGGGCCATAGATCGGAATTTTGCTTCTATAGTGGACCGAGAAACAATGCTTTGTTTCTTACTTAGCTAAGAAACAAGATTATCTCCAACAAAAGTGTTGCTTTCCTAGCCTAGCGATGCGATGCAACACCCCAAAAAAGATCATTGCAACAAAATCAACCCAATGCTGGAACATCTAACTAGAGCTACTATACCACGAATGAATCCTCGAAAAACAAACATCAAAACATCATAAATCATATGCTACAACATCATAGAGATACTCACACAACATGTAACACACAAGAGAAGCGAGGAGCTCCAGTGGCTCATCACCGTCAAGCTCACCGAAGGAAGAAGGGAGGAGGGAGAAGGTTTCACCATCGACAAGCGAGAGACCGCTCTTACAGTGAAGGAGTTCGCAGCCAGGGGACGAGAGAGGACAAGGAAAAAATCCCCAATCTTAGATGTCCTACTTGTTTTGGAGAGGCTACCCAAATGTGGAGCAACACAACCGATATGCCCTACTTGTTTTCGGGGAGGGTGTCCAAATGTATGGGGTTGCGCCATCCCGAGTAGGGATGGCAATCCTATCCGCAGGAGCGGGTACCCGTGGTTTTCATACCCGATGGGTGCGGGCAGGGGCATGAAAACTCACCCGCAGGTGCATGGGGGTCAAATACTCGCAAAGATGCGAGTGGGTGCGGGTATCAACTTTTACCCCTGTACCCACAATTTGAGAATATGTAACCTATGTCCTATGCATATCATGTCGACTGACTGATTTAACATGAACATGATATTCTTCATACATGGCTAGATAAAGTGATTATATGAGCTATTAACTTGTTACTTTACTTGTTTAAGTTATTTTGTGTTATTTGTATGAGTATGAAGGGCCGAATTATGAATCTATGTTTGTATTGTGGTCTCTGAGTTACTGTCTATTGTCCTAATGAACTCTATTTAAGTGAGATGGATATATTTGTGTGTTGTTTAACTATGAATTTGTTATTTTGTATCACTATGATTTTATTATTTGATATCTCTTGAATATACCCTGGGTAACTGTTGGGCACGAGTGCGGGTACGAAATTTTACCCACGGGTATGTTCGCAGGCAGATAAAGATTAGGGTCATGGGCATTCTCACGTGGGTTAATGTTTTACCCGACCTGTTGGTATCCCTAATCCCGAGGTCATACGATGTGTCGTCCACTTGAGCCTTGGACAGCTGTTGCGCCATGGTAGCTTATGTGCATGAGAGAGAGGAGAAGCGGAGAAGTGAACTGGTGCTTCCTGGTGAGAATAAGCAGGGGGAGAGGGAGATAGAGTTAGATGAAGGCAAAGGGAGAAAGAGAGAATAAGTGGTTGCTTGCTGAAGAGATAGCCAAAGGGATGGATAAGAAATGGAGAGCTGGCACAGGATTGATGCGGATGGAATCAACGGAGCGCTGACTCAGATGGATCCGATGACGTTTGTCGCGTTCGGAAGTCCGAATACAAGCATTACTGTTATAGATAAATCAATCAATCTCAGATTGTACCTTGCCATGTAATGGCTTGAATGGCTCGTTAATATAAATAAAGTCACATGGTCTCTAAGAAAAGTGAGAACGCTAATAATTAGACCATGTTTGATATCATGATCTAAATTTTAGAACACTTTAGCTCTTGAGTTTCCAAACAGATAGTCTAAAGTGTTGTCTAAAATTTATCCAACATTATAAAAGATTTCATTAGTTTATTAGACCACACACTACTAGAAACTCGAATACTCCTACTCCTGTGCATGCAAAAACCCACAGAAAAATGCGAATACCCACAGAAAAATATTTTTCCGTCAGAAAATAACACACAGAAATAGAATGACAGAAAAATCAAATTTTTCTGTCGGTTCGCCGTCAAAAATAGTTTTTCTGTCGGTCTTACACGCACAGAAAAATCACGTTTACCCAGATTAAAACTAATTTTTCTGTGTGGATATCCACACAGAAAAAAAGAAACAAACACACACAAAAAAATATGTATTTTTTCTGTCGGTTAGGCTAACTCATTGAAAAATTCCTTTCACCTAGACTAAAAATAATGGTTCTTTATAGCCATCCTCACAAAAAAAAGAGCAGTAAACCTTTAATATATATCTTTCATAGAAAATGATATATTTAGTATAATTTTCACAGAAGCATATAGCATTCAAATAATACATAGAAATCATTAGTCCAGCATGAATGGAGTCAACACTTGATGTCAAAAATGGAATCAGTCTGATCTATTAGCACATATATCATATATACAAATATGATATGTAGTTACCTACTTGTTCAACATGAATAATACAATGAATTCACAAATATGGATATGGAAAAAGAAACAACTATTTTTTCTTGTTCAACCAATAGTAAACTGCTTCACCTTCCACTCTATCTCTACCTATTAAGCAAAGACATATTTTTAGTCAATAAAAAACACTAGTATTATAAGAAGTTTGCCTTTTTATTTAGCATAGTGGGGACTGCTCAGTGCCTTTCATCTCAGGTCACAAGCCAATTTGATTTGCATCGAATGCCATCTACTGAAAAACAGCAAGGAAAATAGAACGCACTACAGAAAATAGAACAGAAAATTGCATCATATAGCCACCAAAGTTCAGAGTAGTCCTTATTGCATCATAAATAAACATATTTAAAATTTTGAACATATCTATAGTAAAAACTTTGGGATATCAAATGGCCTAGATCAAGATGCTAAAACATAAGGATAAATAAAGTTTAAGACAAAGTTTAGTTTGCTAAGAAGCAACGGTTGCTCAACTCTGAAACTAATTATGGAACTTTGAATTTGGGACCAAAATTACAAAACTTTAGGACCTTAAATCTTTTAAACATTTGAGAATCCATTGAGATTTTTCTTTTCGTTGCAATGTCATGTTGTTGATTGGATGCCCTATAGTTTCTGACGACAACATGCATAGTTTTAGACGTCACCCGTGAGTTAGTAGTTGCAGTACCTGCACTATAATGAGAAACACAAAAGTCACTTCAGCATTGTTGATATCATGAATGCTAAATGAAGTTGCAGTAGCAAAATTGATAGCTTGCCTAAGATGCAGTCCACATTACTACCGAGATGGCAAGATCTATCAGCGCAACACGTTATATAGTGCAGCAATAGACAAGAACACAAACAACACGAATTTCACTAATCACTAATAAAAAAAAGACAAACAAACAATGATTCAGGAAATGGGAATTTGCATCACAGATTGCACATAAAAAATACAACAACCAACAAATAACTATTTAGACTTTAGAGAACTACTGCTGACTTACAAGATGCTATAAAACTGGTAAAAGTTTACAGTAAAAATGAAATGTTAAAGAGAGATCAGATGGTAGTGCATGATGTGATCATCACAATGAATGCAGATATCTCCTATGTTATGATATCATCACTTCTCCCATTAAAATTTATCTTATACAACTCTAATAAACCTCAACCACAGACATGATCAAAATATCAGAGCAGAAGAGGGAGGGGAGGGCCGCCGCCACCACCACGCCCCGCCGCCGGCCACCACCACCACCACCACCGCAGCCACCGACCAGATTCGGGAGAGGGAGGGCCGGATCCGGCCGAGTGAAGAAGGGGGAGGAGAGGGGCACCCGTTGGGGAAGAAGAAGGGGGAGGGGAGGGCCGCCGCCGCCACCACGCCCCGCCGTCGGCCACCACCACCACCACCGCAGCCACCGGCCGGATCCGGCCAGGTGAAGAAGGGGGAGGGGAGGGGCGGCCGCCCGCCGGGGAAGAAGAAGGGGGAGGGGCGGGGCGCCTGCGGGGGAGGAGGGACGCTGGGGCTGGGGCACCCGCGGGGAAGAAGGGAGAGGAGGGGCGCTGGGGAAGAGAAGCGCGGGGTGCTCGGAGCGGCGCAGGGGCCGGTTTATCAAGTAGGATTTTCTTGTACATGCATGTATTTTTTCTGTGCGTTTTTAAAGAACCGACAGAATAAGTTACATTTTTCAGTGAGTGCTGATTTTTTCCGTGTGTGTATTATCACACACAGAAAATTCATTTAATTATTCTGTCGGTTTTTGTATTTTTCTGTCGGGATATTTTGGAACCGACAGAATAATCGTAATTTTTCTGTGCGTACCGAAAAAAATGCACAGAAAAATTCGTCACCCACGGGACAATTCGAGTTTCCAGAAGTGACACAATTGAGTTGATCTAAAGTTTAGTCTTTACTCTAAACTAATTAAATTTTAAACGCAGCCTTTATACTGTACAAGTGGAACAGCAGCAGCTAGCTGCAACAGCCGACTGTAGCTTTAATTTCCCGATCAGGATTCAAGAGTCGTAACAAAGTCGTTGCTGAATCGGATGCCAGCCGTAGGCGAATCCGAGGTGACGAAGATCAGCTCAAAAAGGGGAGAAAAGAAACCAGCACAGGACGCTGCGGGACGACGAACAGCACGCGCGTTTCTTTTATTTTTCTCCGTCGCACGCACGTACGTCGAATCATGACTCGTCCGGCTCACGATCGAGCTTCGACGATGGAGGAGGCCACATCGCCCACGGCGCTGGTACGGGACTGGTCGTCGCTCCCGGCCGACCTTCTCCGCGACATCCTGGCGCGGCTGCCGTGGTCGAGCCACCTGAACTTCGCGGCCACGTGCGCCCACTGGCGCTCCGCCGTGCCCCCCTTCTACCCGGCGTCGATCACCCCGGTCCTCCTCAGCGCCGCCGACGTCGGCTCAACAAATCTCCGCTTCTACAGCCCATACTAGCACAAGAACTTCCAACTCGATGAGACGCTGGAGTCGCCCAACGCCAGGATATGTTGCGCCAAAGGGCGACACCTGATACTTACCAGCGCGTGGATAAAGACGACATAGTCGTCGACGCGAACCTGGTGACCGGGGACATCGACGACTTATACTTGCCGGAGGGCACCAAGTTCGACTTCGTTGTCTACGACGGCAAGCAGGTAATGTTCGGCGTCGACGCACACGTCGTACTCCAGGCCGCTCGCTCCGTACGGACCACAACGGCCAAGGGTGGCGCACTTGGGAATTCTCCGAGTTCAACCCAGAGGGGCCAGAACTCGCAGAATCGCCGAGGACGAACCCCGTCCTCCACCATGGCTTGCTCCATCTGCTGGGCGTCGATGGGAAGCTGGCGGTGCACGACGACAACCGGCACAGCAAAGGATTCCAGCTACTTGACATGCCTGGAGGCTTTGGTTTTGAGTGTGATGACTCTCATGTGTTCGAGTCCGATGAAGGTGAGCTCATGGCCGTGCTCATTGGGCACCGTGGGTCACCGGTGCCGGGCGTCAGGCTCAACGAGCATAGCATGGAGTGAGAGGACGGGCATTGTTCACCGGCACACTCACCACGGTGATGGTGAAGACCGGCGTTAAGTGGATGCAGGACAAGATCTATGTTCCGAGGCTACATGACTGGCCTGAGACAATCCACGCGCTGACCTCGTTGACCGGGAAGGCGAATTAGCCTTTTGTGACTAAATCTACGGCGGCGGCACAGGGTCGTGCCCCATGTGGCAAGGGCATATGAACCTGTGCGTTGACTCCACAAGAATCGTCAGTGTTTTGGGAGACTATAAAAGTTGATTATAGCATTTGGGTTGATTTTAGAAATTGAAATAGTCCTATATCATATGATTAATCATGCTAGTATTTTTCTATGTAGTATAACCATTGGTTTGATAAGGACATCAAAGAGGTTAGCTATAATAGGGTTTCGAAATTTCTATTTGGATGAAATTCATTTTGGCTTTTAAATTTTGGTCAAAATTTCACAAGGTTTGAAAACTTTGATCAAAATTTTCTCCTGTATTTTTGCGAGGATCCTAGCTTGAGGTGCAATGCTCAAGCTCCGTTTACACTGGCGTCCATTAAGAATAGATCTATTTCGTGAGTACAACAGTCTATTTTATAGTGTCACCACTCACAGTACTCTGCTTTCCTGGCCACTATGAGAAATATTTTTACATGAAAACTTTAGAGAAGTGGTTGACTAGGCCATAATTTTGTGAAGTTTTCTTTTTCTCACTTTCTCAACGAGGATGAATAGCTCACTGTCTTTTGGAATTGGATCTCAAACGCGATAAACATAAACCTGTCTGAAAGCATATAGGCCTCTAACTCGGTTTTTTGACGATTAATACACATTTATGAAAACTAGCATGGGGTAACTCATATAAAGCCCAATGATCAATGAAACCCAAAGCCAAACTCAAGAGATAAATTGGAAGGGTTTGGACTTGATGAAGTGGCCAACGAGCCTGCTTTTTGTTCCCTGGATTTCATCACGGAAGTGTCCTGGCAAAGGAGAAGCCAAAGCACGACATGTTCATAGATGTCAGTGCAAAAGTTGGGTTCAACACTCTTGATACACATTTTTTTCCTTCACTTTCACAAAGCTCTCTCCTTGATATCACTACTGATCAAATATCTGAAAAAGTTACTGCAAAATAGTAGTATTCCCTCTGTTTCTAATTGTAAATTGTTTTGACTTTTCTATATACATATATATAAATTTTGCTACGCATCTAGCTACATATTATGTCTACATAGTAAAAAAATATGTATCTAGAAAAGACAAAGACTTTCAATTTAGAATAGAGGGTGTACTACTTTAGCCAAATGATTTTTTTAGTTGGTTCTACCTGCTTAAATTTTTGATTGATAATTTGGTCCATCTTGTTTATCTATGTTACAATTCTTAAATTCCATAGCTGCGTAAAAAAACAATTAATCTAGGAAGCCAACGATTCAGATGAAATTTCAGCTGGTTTTAGAATGATCATGTTGTTAGTTCAGGATAGCATATGCCTTTCATGCTGATGGGCAGATTGATTATAGGATTCTTATGGATGGCTTGATTAGACGGTAGGATCATGCTCTTCACGGCGAGGCAAGATGTGTGTTTTCTTCGCAAGGTTATAAGACCAAGGACATGGAGCACAAGGGCCAGTTGTACTCTGCGTCCCCTTTGCACTCATTGATCTGATTTTGGTCCCCATATCGGTGTTGATGGACTATTACGTCCATATATCGATGTTTTTTTTTTTGAAAAAGAGAATATTTTAGCACACAAAAATATATTGGCACTTGACTTATTCTCTGTATTTATTCTGTGCTGACCCTGGTGTTTTTTACCATGTTGGTACTTTTTTATATTGATTTAAAAATGTTGTATTGGTAAATTTGATGTGATGCTTTCTCTTTGTAATTTGATTGTACATAACTATTTATCCTAAATGTTGGATGTTTGTTAGCTTTCAAAATTGATATTTTGGTCATACATACCCATGGTTGCAGCATCCTTGTGATAACCAGATAGCTTACTAAATATTTACTCTTATGTTTTCTTCCGTTCATATTTGATATGAGAGACAGTGAGGAGCAATATATATGACTATATGACAGAGAGAAAGTGCAGGGCTTAATGTGGTCTAGGACTATTTCATTCAAAACTGCTATACAATAAGTATGTGTTTGGTTTCAGGGTTCAACTGGATTAGACTAGATCAGACTCATTTTTAGGTGGGTTCGGTCCTAAGATTAGCTGGGTTGGGTTTAACCCACCGTAGAATATTCCTAGAAGATACGGGCTCGATTGTAAGCTCGAAACGAAAAAACGGGCATGACTTAATGGAACATTTCAAACTCAAGTGAAATCTACGAAGCAAAGCAGAGTCCTGCTGCATTTCAGATTCTCACTCCAACAGTGGATTTATACATCAAAGAACATATGAAAATATGTTGACCGCATGGTCAGCATCCCATCTGGACGAGCAGTTTTTTTCGCTGCTGGAGACCTGGCTGCAACGTGACAGAATGGCACGCCCCATTCCCCAGGCAGGTCTCAAAAGATCTTGAGGCTCTGGATGGACGCCGGCAGCGCCCAGCCGCCGCTCCCTTCCTCCCGCGCGCCACGGCCGCACTCCCCGCCTGCCCTCCTCGCCGCCGCCGCGGCGCGCGCGCTGGCGGCGCAGTCGTGGTCGGCGGGGAACCTGTGCTTGAGGCACACCTTCCGGCCGCAGCCCTTGCAGTGCTGGGTGTTGGAGAAGGTGAGCTGCTCCTTGCACCGCCGCGCGGAGCACCGGGGCTTGCGCTTCTTGGCCGGGTCGCAGCGCCGCGACTGCGCGTGCGCCGCCAGGATCTCCCGCTCGTCCTGCCCCGGAACCAGCCTCTCGATGGCGTCGCCGCAGTCCGGGCACACGACGACGGTGCGGCCCTGGTCCGCCGCCTTGGCGCAGCCGTGGTCCCGGTAGGTCCGGTGCGCGACGCAGAAGACCTTGCCGCAGCCGTCGCAGTCGAAGGGCAGGAAGTCGAGCTGGTTGCAGTCGGGCTCGTCGCAGTGCGCGCCCAGGTTTGGGAACGCCTCCGTGCCCCGCCGCGCCATTATCGCCGGTCGGTCGCTGCCTCTCTCTCCTCTCTGCCCTCGATCGGCCCGCAGATGTTTTGAACAAGTGTGAATCGGATCGCTGGTTTCTTGCTGCGTCCGCGATTGATTGCGTGATGAGCGAGCGAGCGGCGAGAGGACGGGCGTAGATTTATAGGTTGGGCTGGCCGGCTGCCGGTGTCGCTGTTGCCGACGCGGAAGCGGAACCGTTTCGCCATTCTTTCTTTCGCGGCAAGAAGAAGGCAGGCGGGTTCCGAGTCCGGACAGGTCATCGCGCGCGTTGTTTTGCCTTGTGCTGGCGACTCTCCTTCTGGATTGGCCGGGTCTCCTCTGGAGGCGGCTTTCCTTAGCCGGGGCGGTTTCCGTTTGACTTGTTTTTTACTCGCGTCGCGAGGCGAGCGTGTCCGCGTCGGCCGTGACGTGGCGGCCGCGGCAGGATGGGTTAGACTTTGGTCGTATTGGTGGGTCATTGTGTCAGCGTCCCAGGCTTTTTTTTAAGTAGTGTGCCCGCGCCGCCCCCAACATCGCCCGCGCCATCAGCCGCTTTCCACCCGCATCTCATGTGCAACACTCGATCTACTTTTAAAATATCCAGATACAACAGTTACAAGATAAAAAAAATAGATGAAACACTTGAAACAAGCGTCTGAAACATTTGCGAAAACGTCTGAAAAAAATTTGGAAAACATTGCAAACATATGCGACATATAGATGAAACACTTGTAAACATACGTATGAAACACCTGAAATCACTTGAAACATATGTTTGCAACGTGAATATATATGCAACATCCATATCTACTTTTGCAACATCGAGATAAACACACTTGCAACATATATCTGGAACAAATGAAACATTTAGAACATACACTTAAAACATACGTGTATAGTCATTACAACATGTGCACCATCTCAATCTACTTTTACAACATCAATATACAACACTTGCAATAAATATGTGAAACACTTGAAACATACTCCTGCAACATGCGGTTCTCACCTTTGTTCTTCCGTACGACGCAACAAAGAGCGGGGGAATAGCCATTCCGGCAAGCCAGCGACCGAGGATGGTAGCGCGGCCTGGTAGCAGGTAGCTGCGCCTGTGCCTGGGCTGCCTCTCCTGGCTGCCTGGCCTAGGCGCGGCGGAGAACGGAGCACGGCATGGCGCGGTAGGGGGCAGAGGCGGGAATGGGGTGCGCTGTGGGGGATGGCGGCGACGGCACCCCGGAGTGGGCCACGGCACAGCAGAGTGGGGCGGGCGGCCTCGCTGTGTGACGCGGAGTGGGGAGAGGAGCGCGGAGCAGCGCGCATGAGAGTGGATGCAGCGTCGCCACACTGGGGAAGGCCAATGAAGAGCCTTGCACAGTAGAAGGGAGTAGATCGAGCAGCGCTATCTTTTTCTTTTTGTTTTTTTGGAGAAGCAGACTGGCAAGCGACGCTGGATAAGACGGAGTGCGGGAGGCATAGTGCGGTCCGGTCCGTTCGACTGCCCGTCCGGACGTCGAGCATTACCGTTTGCTAAATCTCGGTGGAAAACGGCCCAACACCCTCGCCAAACCCGATCTCTAGATTACCGAGCACGCTATCCCGTGTACCTTTAGGAGTGGTGAGTGGGATTCGCTCACCATCTAGGACCTCCTGACCCTTCCTGTGTGTTTGATTCTTCTCATTGCAGCTGCACGAAGAGCTTATAGAGGGTTGGTCAAGGTCGGCGTCTTTGCAGACAACGTCGGCATGAGATGTTTGCGACATCTCTGAGCGCGTCTCGGCAGAGTGAATTGGGGAGGCAGAGAAAGCTAAGTTGTCACGTGTGAGGACCACCGTGGTAGCCCCATCGGGTTAGAGACTGTTGCAGCGTCGTTCTCATTGGATTTACACTTCTTGGAGAAGGGGTCCATGGGGAGAGTTGGATAGGATAGGAAAGCGAAGGGA